GAGGTGGCGCATCGCATGGTCTTCAGATATCCTTCGCCGCGTCCCGCTCCTCACACCGCCCCTGCAGCTAAATTAAGGTGGTGTGACAGAACCCCGCGGCTCTTGGGCATAGGTGTAAATGCCTCCACCCGGGCGGGTCTGAGAATAACGCTGCTCGAATGAAGCTTAACTGTAGCTGTTCGTGTCTATCCTTAACATTAATAATTATGGCCACCTCACTTGGGAATGGGCACATGGCTTAAGGAGCTATTCATACCCACTGATCTTTGCAAGCATTTACAAAGCTTTGCAGCTGGTGGCTAAGGATGATGTTCAGCTGCTGGTGAGTATAACAAACAAATGCATCTGAAACTAAAATCAAATTTAAAATTACTGCATTTAAAGTTCAGTGTATGTTTATCATTGCCAGGTAAAACAGAAAGCCTTGAATCTGGCAGTTAGAGATGTCTGAGCACAGAGACCTCACTGAAGCGTTTCACACGGGTGCATGCTGCTTTCATAGATCTCCCATCATAGCAGTGATGCCTGTGACTACAGAGGATTATTCTTGGCCTCCATCACTCTCTCTGAATTTCATACTGATACTGTTTGTCACTGCATCATAATTACTCAGTGGTTCAGATTTCTGAAGTGTTTAATAATACATATTTGTACTAAGCTCACTAAAAACAGCCCCTTTTGATTATATTGGAGATAAATGGCAAAAAATTTGTAGTTCAAAATTCTGTACACTTTCAGTTGAACTGTATCTTTGTTTTAGCAGAAATACCAGTCTTACCAAAGGACCTTACTATTAAAAATAGTAAAAAGTTATAGTGAGTATTCACTGATTCACCATTTCCATGTCTGAACAGTCACTAATTCAGTAGTCTCTTCAAAAATTTGGAAGTTAACAGGTTTGTTGCAAGTGAAATTTTCTCTCTGCTTACACAGATCTGGGTCCCTAGACTTGCACAGGCAGTGCTGGCCGCTTTTGCTGATGTGAAGCTTTACTCACTAGTGCGACACCTTGAAAATGCAGAGACAGCGAAGTGGGTGGTGAGTCTGGGCTTTTAAAAACATTTATGCATGTCAATAAACACTGTTTGCTGCAGTGTAAACAACAGCAGAATGACAGTAATTTATCATTATATCTCTAGAACAAGAATTACCACCTTCATTTAAAACTACACAATTTAACTTTTCTCCCTGTGCATAACTTTGTTCATCATTATTTTCAGTACTTCTGCCAGCTGTGTTCCTGGTTTACATGGTATTCCTGTACCCGAACTCTAACAAACACCACGGAAACTCTTCTTACCATTTTTGCACTTTCCTACTATCCAATAAAAGGTTCAAAGATGGGGAGCAGGTGAGAAGATTTCTACTAACAGTACTGATAATTTTTGGCTTGGAATAACACCAGTCTACTGATATTGTTCAAAATGCTTTTATCTTAAAATATAAGGCAACCAAAATAACCAATTTCTGTAGCAAGAACTCTAGCTCATGGGAGGAAGAGCAGTTGTGGTATTTCCTCTAAATTGAAGCCATGATAGAGCTCGTCTTTAAAATTACTATTCTCAAGTCCCCTTGTGCAAATTAGCACTCTGTGGGAAACTTCAAACTGGTCTTTAAAGGACTGGAATTTGTGGCAACACAGGAAAAGATAACAAGAGCTTGTTTGGGTTCAGATACAGGTGAATTTGTGGTAATTACTTTCCTTACCAGCTATCTATTTTAAAGGAAGTATGTGCTTCTAGTTAGCAAATCCACTGCAAATAAAGCAGGTGTGTAGCTGGCAGCCTTCCAAGGAAAAGTATCTTTTTTTCTTATATCTGCAAGACAAGAGTATTTGCACTGAGAGAATCAGTTATCTGCAGCATGAAAAACTGGTCAGAGACGTGACGGTATTTAAATTGTTGAGATATCACCATCTGCAAAAGAATTGACCCAATCTTTTGGTAAAAGTGTGTTTTTCTTATGTTCCCTCATTCTAGCTGTAAGTATTTAGCTTTAATAGCACTTGCAATTGTTATTCGTCCTACTGCTGTTATCCCATGGATACCCTTGGTCCTCAGTCATTTTTTGCAAGAACAGAGGAAAGCTGACCTTGTCCTACACAGCTGCATTCCAGTAGGGTAAGTTCTTTCTGAATTTAAACTGTGACTGTGCACAGCTGTATTTTAAGATTAATTTTACTACCGCAAAGGAAGACAACCCCAAAAAGCTGATGTAAAAAACGAGGTAAAAAATAGGATCCTTTGCAAAAGTTGAAAGAAGGAGCACACTCCCTTTCAATTAATGTGTATGTTGCAAAACAGCACTAGGAGAGATTTCATGAGGGCCAGCCATGAACACCATTCCAGGTTAATCTGGGATTGTGCCAAGGATACCAGGTGATGGCCAATGGCTACAAGTACGGATAATCTCAAAAAAGATGAGGAATCAGGTAATTTTGACAGCTATTTGGAGAAGAGTAGAATCTGATACAAAAGCAGTCCAGCCAATATCAGTGCAACCAACTTTCCATTTTTGCAGATTGGTCACAATAGGAACCTCTTTAATAATTGACCGTGTGTTTTTTGGTGAGGTAAGTTGTTTTAAATTTGACTTACAAGGAGAAGGTTGCGTTTTAGCATTTTAACACTGGCAGATGTTTCAGACTTCTCTAACTTGTTACATCTGTGAATATTTGGCCTGTCATCTCTAAATACATTCTAAGCCATAAACCCCCTTAAACAGTGACTAGTTAGTTATTTTATGGACTGTTACTTAAAATCAGTATGCTCAGCTCTCAATAAATCCAATAGTTATCAACAAAATACAAAACATACACACACCTGTGTTTAATTGCTAAATGTAGGAAATCTGTGACAAGTCCTAGTAGAAAATAACACGTATGAATGAAAACACTGTATCATTTAAGGCCGGTGATGACTCTGTAATTCAATTTAGCTGTTGGTTTTGATTCTGGATTTGTATTTAACTTCTCCCCTTCCTCCACATCTCCCAGTGGGTGCTGGTTCAGCTGAATTTCTTGAAATTCAACGTGCTGCAAAATTTTGGAACATTTTATGGATCTCATCCTTGGCACTGGTACTTCACTCAGGGACTACCAGTCATCCTGGGTACCCATCTGCCTTTCTTTATTCATGGCTGTGTGCTGGCACCAAAAAGGTATCGCATCTTTCTAATGACAGTGATTTGGACAGTCTTGGTGTACAGGTAATTTCTCCTAAGTCTCACTACTATCTTTGACTGGTTGTGTTCTTTTCAAAGCTAGTGTCATCTCTAGAACAAAAAAAGCACAGTATTCAGGTTAAGTGATAGGAAACTTCGAACTATTCAAACAGTCCAAGGAATGATGCCAGTTATTCAATAGAGTCTAGAATTTTATGTAACACTACTTCTTGTATCGCTACCAAGCATGCATTTTTAGAATTGATTAGACCCTTACAGGATCAAGTAGCTCAGCATGAAATTCAGTGGAAAATGGGAAAAAAACCCCTAACAAACCTAACCAACGCTCAAATCACTTACAGGTATTTAAGCAACAACCGAACTAATTAGAAAACTATATTTACTAGATGCCTGTTAGCAAAAATATCATTGCATTTGGTTCTTTAATACATGCCCAGTAAGATGAGAGGTTCTTAGGCCTCTAAAACTTACTCTATTCTCAAGTCTACACACAGCTGCTAAAATTTATCATAGGATTGACTGTATGTCTCATTTTAAGACGAGAAGTAGAAGAAAAGGTAAACTGTTTCTAAGCATCTGAATTAAACGTATATTAAATGAGAGACACTGAGACAAGAAAAGATACAGCAAATTAATAAATACCAAGTAATACAAAGTGACAAATGATATTAGATTACATATTAGCAGAATACAGCAAAAGAGTAGAAGGGCTACAAATGCAATCTCTTCTTACTGTCTGACTCAGAACTGGGTGTAGCTCTATTGCTTTTAGGCCTTTTTTACTCCCTCTGTTTTACAAGAACCTGTTTGGTTACCTGACATTAAGTCTTGCAGTAATCCCCAAAAATATTTTCTAAATTGGCTTGGGAAATTGTGTAAAGATGTATTAGCAGAGGTGAATGTTTCTTTGTTAGATACAAATGTGTACTTGAATCTTAGATTCTCATCCACGCTTTTTATTGTGTTTTATTACAGAAAGCAAATTGGTTAAGTACTAGCTAAGTTACATCTTGCAGTCGTAGATTCAGACCACTTAATTGCTAGAGTAGGAGCCAGGTAATTTTATTAGTGCTTGGTTTAAAGTAATAATTATAATTTAATATGCTCATTATGTTCTTTAAAAGTGACAATTTGGATTTTTACTCTAAACTGCTGCAATGCCAAAAGTTTTTTAGTACATGCAGGTGCTTTCCCTCCAGCCTCCATACTCTAAAAACCACATTTTGTCAACAGAACTGATGCATGTGACTTTCTCGCTGTACTATTATATGTTTTATTACAGCATGCTGAGCCACAAAGAATTCAGGTTCATCTATCCAGTACTGCCATTTTGCATGTTTTTTTGTGGTAAGCATCGTTTCAAATGTCTTGCAACCTTCCCTGTATATAATTTTTACCTAAAGAGAGACCATTAATAGTCAATGTAGGTATTTGACAAAGGATTCTTAAAACTAGCCCAACCTTTTCTTAAAGCTAGGGAAAAAAAAGGAAAAACAAAATTAGGAGCAGAGTGACTGAAGCACAGATGGAGATTTCTTAGCATGGATAAAAGTACTTCCTGCAAAAAATACAAAAATTGCCTCAGTGACTTCTAACTTTTTAGCAATGCCACCCTCGCAGTCAATTTTGTTCCTTGTCTCCTTTGTAATATTTTTCCACCCAGTTCTCTCCAGTATGCCTGACAAATGCCTTGGAGTATTGTTTTTTTTAAGAAAAAGTATTCAAAAACTAAAATTATCGTTTATAGATCCAGGTGTGTTAGTAGATAGTGCAAGGAAGTATTTTATATTTAACAAAACCAGTTATTAACTACAGTAACGTATCTACAGGAAAAGTAAAGATGTAAAGTCTAGTATGCTGAAAAGTTACAAAGGAAAGATTAAACTTCTGAAACATAAAGCTGTATAGCTTTAGTTTAAATACAAGTTCAAAACGGATGAACCAATGAAATCTGTAGTTTCTTTAATCTGTTTGGCTAGTCTAAACAAAAATAAATCTTACTTCAATAATTCTGCTCTCTGATGAGATCAAATATGTAGTATGTTTTGGCTTAGTTCAATAGCAGATTTAAGATGAAACAGTTCTACCTCACATGCAGAAAAATTCAGACCACTACTGTTTGTTAATACCCCTCTTAACTTTCATGTCTATGAGGGACTGAGGTAACCTGCACAATTTCACAAGAGCTAATTTATCACGTTTGGATTCTGTAGTAAAGAAAAAGATGACTAAAGTTATTTCTGGTAACTCAAGTGGTTACAAATCGGTCTTTAAACTGCTCAAAACAGTATAAATAAAAGCAGAAAAAAATCCCACATGAATTTCAAAGCCTTTTCCAAGCACAATTAAAGATAAACTTAAGAGTGTTTCACAAAAGTAGTGAAAAAAAAATGCCTATAATAGAGTATTTCCAGTGGAGCTTAAACCACAGATTAATTAGGGGACTTTATTTTCATCTGAGATAAAGATCTGCAATTTATCAGAACAGACCAGCTGAAGACTAACTTAACTTACTTGTTACTGCCTTCTCAAACAGGCCTCTTCTAACCTGTTTCTGTGATTCAGTAAAGGTGGTCACAGGGCTAGGCTGCATAAAATATTTTTATCTCCTAATACTGACAAGCACCTGACTTAATGAGTGTTTCCAGACTGGCTGCAACATGAAGCGGCCTTCTGTGCCAGATTCATCTAAGCTGTGGTTGTGAGAAACAGTTTTATATAGCTAACTCCCACCAGAAGAAGTGTCTCTTCCTATTATTGGCTCCTTCAAGAAAAGTGGGGAGGAAAGGGCAGGGATGGTAGATGGGAAAAGATAAGAGGAGTAAGCTTTTCCAAGGATAGTAGCCTAAAAACAAGTAACAATAAGGAAATGCTGTAGCTTTCAGCATGTTGGAAAGGAAGAACACCACAGCCATACCAAAGGACATGTAGTTGCCATTTATTCTAACTCTACTTGGACATGCATGAATCAGAACACATCAGTAAGTCAACACACATCATTCATCCAAACTACTGAATGGACTATATTTCCCCACAAGAAATTTAAGCTCTAAAGAGACAAAGCACTGGCTTTGAAATCATACTTCCGTACTTCAAAAGACAGGTATGGGCTTAACATTTACACTGTTAAATCCAGTAGTTAATAAGGGCAAAGTCTAACCTTCAAATTTTCATTCAAAGAGCAAAGACCGAGAACACTATTAAATTACCTCAAAGCAAGGTATTGTTATCAAGCAAGTAATGGTTTTCTAGTAAGTTATAGTACTTTCAGTAATATTGCGTGGAACTGTTAGTATTTGTTTCTTTCTAAAACCTATTCAAATATTTCTATAGGATATTCTTTGAAACACTTGAAAGCATGGAAGAAATCTGCAGCAAGTTTCCTGCTTTTATCAAACTTAGTCCCAGCCCTGTATGCAGGCTTGATTCACCAGCGAGGCTCTCTTGATGTTATGAGTCACATACAGCAACTCTGTAATAACTCTTACCAGTCCCAAGCTTATGTCTTCTTCATGATGCCGTGCCACTCTACTCCATTTTACAGGTATTAAAATAGTTAACAGTGTCCTATACTAAAATCAAACATTTAAGCAGAAATTAAAGTGTGGGTTTTTTTCCTCAGCTTAATAAATTGAGAAGGATAGAGCTATACAGGAAGAGTTTTAATTTTTCATACAGCTAATACAGAATGAATAGGGGAAATAGGCCAAATGCTTATACCACAGAATAAAATTCAGCATCTAAGCTTTATTCGGTTTTTGTAAAACAGCTTTGTATGAGGATATACATTAAGTCTTACGACTTCTGCAAGTAAGTCATAGTGCTTCATTTATTTGTAGCAAAGCTGAAGAGTAATTGTTACAATCAATCTGTTAATTTTACCTTTGCTTCTGCTGCTAGAGAGTAATGTAATTACAACATGCAATGACCAAGGTCATTATTCCAAAAAGTTTGTAATAGATCTTGGCAAGTAAACAAAACGTTAAAGCAGATATGAACAGTGAAGTTCATATGGAAAAGCACCTTTTTAAGAAACTGATGTTGCACAAATAGTATTTTTATTAAGATAAATCTGCTTTCTGTGAACTTATAATAACATAGTAACAACAGCTTGGAGGTGAATCCACTTGTTCTACTTTTGCTTTCATATGAAGTACAGAGGGGAAAAAATGGGACCCTGGGGTAAAAAAACCTAATTATTTGATTTTGGCTTTTACTGTTTAAGTGATGAGTCATTTCAAATCTTACATATTGGTCAGTTTATCCTGAAGTGTTTGTTTTGTTTTTCTCCCTAGTCATGTTCACTGTCCTTTAAAAATGAGATTCCTTCAGTGTCCCCCAGACCTAACTGGAAATGAGAGCTACATTGATGAAGCAGATGTATTTTACTCTAATCCACTTGGCTGGCTTAATAAGGAGTTTTACAATGATACGTTATTACCCAGTCACTTGATCTTCTTCAGTGTGCTAGAACAGGTATGGTAACTGCAAGATCAAACAAACTAGTTTTAAGGTCAAGATAAAAAATAAATTAGGGGGAGTTAAGATTTTTGGAAACTGTTGTCCACAACTTTTTGTAACAGCTTAAACTAAAACTGAACCCTCTAGTCCATAATATAGGTACCATTCCAGCGATACATACACTTTGCATCCATGTATACAATCTCTGTGCTAAGTCTAGATGCCATAAAGTAATGTTTCATGGAATTCTTCTCAAGCCATATTAAATGAAATGTGCAGTATGTTCCCAGAATTGTGCACTTTCAAGTAAGCAACAATGACAAGCAAAAATGCCTGCAGTTAGACTACCTTCTCCCTTCAGTTCTTTTATGAAGTTCATGTACTCAGAAACGGCGTCTGAATTTCCACACTGGATAGGATCAGTCAGGATAGGTACCTCTTTTTCTAGCAGTCTTTCCTAAAATGAAGGATAAAACTTCCAGGGGACAGTTGAATTGATAATTTCATAAGAGTCTGAACACTATTCTGATGCTTCCAACTGCGCTTTCTGACTGTGGAAACCAATGTATGTTCATTTACAGGAAATATCATCGTTTCTAGCTTTAAGGGGCTACAAGAAAACAGCCACTGTCTTTCACACTCATATTCCTCAAGGACGAGTTGGAAGCCACATCTACATCTACAGGAAAAATACTGAAGTGAATCATACCTGAAGATCTGTTTCTAGACTTAAGACCTAATGAGATCAGTTTTGTGTAGCAGGACTATGCTTAGAAGATCTTGTACTGCAGAAAGGAGAGTGTAGTGAGTCTGAAACCGGGTAAGTCAAATGGGGAAGTCTGATCAGGCAGCCACTGCCTGTCTGGAAACACGTAAACGTGTTCCTGAAGGCAACTTCAGTAGTAGTGTGGCAGGGTGGGGCTGTTGACCTACATTACAACACTGGAAAACATTAGGAAGACCAAAGTTACTGTAATAACTACTTAAACAATGAACAAATCAGACAAGACTGGACCATTTTTATGGAACTGTATAGCTATGCTAGGTTTGTTTTATAAATAAACACTTCTATCCACAATGTCTCTTTATTTTTCTTCTACAATATGCAGATATGCAAGACATTTCAAGTGCTTAAATCAGCAAGCTGATTAGGATGCAGCATAGCAAATTCTTCACAATTCAACAGGCTCTTGAACAAGGCCCCCCCCCAAAGACAAGAAGCAAGTGTAAGATTACAAAACACTAACAAATACATTACCATAATGTAGCCATAATGAAGAGCTATTTTTTGAAGGATGAGATGAAGTTAGTCTATCAAACGTTGGCGTTAATTATTGGTACATTATGCATGACTCAAGCTTGAACTACGCTAATGGAATGCAATTAAGCATATTTTTCACACACAAGTCACTGCATGCCTAACTTCTGTAACAATACTGCTGGCACTCAACTATCACTTCCAAAGAACAGTTAAAGCAACAGTACAGAATATGCAAATTTGAAAGCTTGACTTCTGCCTTTTAACAAAAATTTGTAAAAATCAAATTATTTAGAGAAAAGAACTTGCATCTTGCTGCTTTGTTGAAAAACAATTAGTTTTTGGAGAGAATGTGAATTCTGATTTTACTTTTACCATAAATTACTCAGTATTTGGGATCAAAGGGTAATTGCCCCAATTCTATTTCAAGATTTGCCATGTGTCTTCCATTAGTGCGACCATGTTTTTGCCATTTACCTTCTCTTTTATTACGGTGGTGGTACTTCTGAGCTTGTTTTTCATGTCTGGAATTTTCAGTTTGTGTATAAGAAGGCCTTTTAGGTCGACTGCAAGGAGTAAACAAAAGCTTATTACCACTCTTACAGAAAGCATCTCTCTAAAAGCATTTTGAAACACAATTACATTGTCAAGAACAGCTTTTAACATGCTGAGTATGACTGAATTCCCCCCTAAAATTAGTATCAAAGTAGTCCTTTCTCTTGTAAGCAAAACAGGGAGGGGTGGTGCTATTTGTTGAAATCATCAATAAAGTGGTACATTTAAAAGAAATCCTTTCTAGAAATAAGAATGCTCTGCAGCTGCTTGCCCAAAGTTCTTTTTAGGATAAAGCCAGGTAAACAGCTGTTTGATTATCCCTTCTGTGATGCTTGACTGAGGTCTCAATCTGTTTTTCCGTTGCTCTACTATACTCTGCTCTATACAAATCATTAAAAACTTCACAAACCCTCAGGAAAGCAGGCTTTGTGTAGCCACGGGCACTTCAGAGGTTTTCATGTACAAAAGCTACATTTATAGAGAGAGGGGGCACTGACAAAATACTGATGCTCACTTTGTTGCAGTTTTTGATGGAAATAGTGCAATTATACTACATGCTGTTATCATGTGACCAGCATCTCTAGCCTTCTGCTAAGCTACATTAAGATTGTTTTCAACCTCAGTATCGTACAAACATCTGTATAATACTATCAGGAAATGAATTTGAATGTCTGTTTTTTCTGCAAACTGAATTAAAATGCTCAGAATTAAGTATTTCATTACGAAAAAAGTTCATTTTAATGATAAAATAGAAGTATTTGAACTATAAATAAATCAAAACTTACATCATACGTTTGCCAAAACTATATATTAAAAAGGCTACTTGGCAGCTGATAATAGGAGTATCATCCTCTTGGTTGAACTTTTAACAAGAGAAGGAACTACCTGACATACACTTGGTAATCCCAAAGTGGTTAAATATTCAGTTTATGCTGCAATAAACACATGAAGTAATAAGTCTAGAAGAGAAACCTGACTCAAGAACTGCACCTTGATCTAAATACGCTTTGCACTGAATGCCAGCAGATAGAAAAGTTCTATTATGTCTACAAGAATAACTTCTTGTGTATTACACATTAGTTACCTGATCTTACCTGATCAGAAGAAACAGTAGCACAAGAGACTATAGGCCATTTTGTAACAGCAGTGATATTAAAAGCCACATAAAACATACATAGGTGTTCCAGAAAAAGCAAGTTCCTCACAATATATTAAGGCTGCTTGCTTAATTTTCTTTCACCTAAGTCTGTGCAGTAGAAAGAGCCCACCACCTCTGGCTCCATTGGGCCAGGCAGCATACCACAACTGCTCTGTAGAAACCCTGAAAATACCATTAAATATGGCAGAGTAATGCAGGAACCAATTCATGGCAAGGACCTTTGTAAGCAAGTCTGAACAGAATTTAGGTATGGTCAGGATCTGAACTAAAGTCTGTCACCTGAGTAGCTCTGCTCTGAGCAGACTAACTCAGTATTACACTAAGCTGTAACAGAGTAGTGAAATTCCTCAAAAGCCAGCAAGGAACATACCTGCCAGAACAGGACTTTGAGACTGCTCAAATATATACAAAAACCTTTTCATTTGATGAAGGACAACAAGGAAGTCCTAGTTAATGCTTCTTCTGAGACAGTTACTCAATCCATCGAACAAGCAATCATCATAACTGTTCAATCTAAAGTAATCCCACTTGCAGTTACAAGGTTTTCTGAAGAACTCGACAGAAATGCTACATTGTGTTGTGTACGGTGAATCTGTAGTGCCTCCCAAACTAACATCCCACGTACAAAATGTGTAAGGTACTACAGATCCACTTAATACAACACAATCTAGTATTTCCACTGAGCCCCTCAGAAAGTCCTCTAGCGTGTGTATGTATCTATGCCCACAGACACTCATGCAAGCTTGATACATGCATGCTACAAGACTGCCTATTAGAACAGAGACATGAGTTGACTTTGCAAAGACTACTTCATTGTATTAACAAGTTCAGGAAACATGGAAACAAACCTGGGTCCATACTGGGGTGAATTATCATAATGAAAGTAGTATCTGTAGATGTATTTGTCCAAATCCTCAAAAACCTTTTCATTATTATTTTGGTATTCCTTCATATCTTCTAGGTAATCCTTGACATCATTAACAAAATCAGTGAAGAGCATCTGGTCATGTATAAATACCCCATTATGAAAAAACTTATCAATGAAATTTTCTAGTTCTCTCCAGTGATGAAAGTTATGTACAACTTGTTGCAAATACTTTTTCATTAGCCGATTAAATTCATCCACCCTGATGGGATCCGAAACTCTGTTAAAGAGACTAATGAATTCTTGATGAGCACATTCAAAAATACCAGAGCAGCCCTTAAGGCCAAACTGATGTTTTCTATTGCACAAAGGATCATTGAGACATTTCTGTGAATCTGTATCTTTTTCAAACGCTGTAAACTGATGTTTTCTTCCATCTTTGAACTCTTTAGCCACGTTAGGTCCCCTGTAATGCATGTGCTTTGAATTCTCGTAAAAGTTATGCTCTCGATAAAATGTTCGAGCTTTCTTGTTTGCCTCGTGTCTTCTATCGTTTGACTTCTTCTCCTTTTCATCAAAGATGTTTTTTGTGGTGTCTTTGAAGTGTCTGAATGTAGACTTTACAGAATCAGAGAATTTTTTCAGGTTTTCTTTCACTGCTTCTTTAGCCTGCTTAATCTTTTCTTTATGGTGTCTTACGAACTCTTTTGTGGAATTTTTCATAGCATCAAAAGTTTCCTTAACTGAACCAAAAAATGATTCCTTTGATTTCTTTTTAGTCTTACTCTGCCCCTTAGCACCTTTCTTTTGTCCCTTTTCATACGTTTCCTGTTTTTCAGTTTGGTCTTTTGCTTCAACATACAGCTTCTCCCATAAGTCAGAGCGTTGCTGCTCGAAGTTTAGCTTTTTTTCTAGTTCTACTAGTCTTCCTCGCAGAGCTTCTATTTCTTGATTTTCTCTTAATGTATCATCATCTTCATTAGCATTGTCAGGTGTTTGACGAGAACTTAACTGTTCCAGTTCTTTTTTTAGAGCTTCCGTAACATGACGTTCTTTGTCCAGTTCTCTCCTTAACATCTGTGCTTCTGCAAAGAGTGTTTCCTTTTGCCTAAGAAAGTTGTGGTTTCTTTGCTTTTCCTCTTCCAAATGTTCCCTTAGTTTCTGATTTTCCATTACAATAGACTCCGTGCTAGTACCTTTATCTTCTAAGTTTCTAATTTGTTGTCTCAGCTTTCTTAATTCTTCCTGAAGTGAGGCCAAAGCTTTTTCTTCTTTCTCTAGAGATTCTCTTAAGTGCTGATTTTCTGCAGCAAGACTTTTTTTTTGAGATTCAAAGGATTTCTTCTCCACCTCAGTAGAGGTCAAACACGTGGCAAAATCTCCCTTGAGTGACTAATACAAGCAAAAAGACACAAGCAAAAATACTACAATTAGAATTGTTATAATTTCAGGTAGAAAAGTGAAAGACCAAGTGTCCTGGTTTCAGCTGTAACAGTTATTTTTCTCCTTCCTAGTAGCTGTGTTTTGGCTTTAGTCTGAGAAATAATGCTGATACACAGTGTTTTAGTTGTTGCTTAAAGTAACACTTAGTCTGATTAAGGACTTTTCAGTCTCATGCTCTGCCAGTGAGGAGGGGCACAGGAAGCCGGGAGGAAGCTGAGACAGGACACCTGACCCAAACTGGCCAAAGGGGTATTCCATACCACAGCACGTCATGCCCAGTATATAAACTGGGGGGAGTTACCCAGAAGACGCAGATCGCTGCTCGGGTCGGGCTGGGTATCAGTTGGCAGGTGTTGAGCAATTGTATTGTGCAGCACTTTTGTTTATTGTTTGTTTTTCCTTTCCCCTTTTAGTTTTATATTCTCTGCCTTTGTTATTTCCCTTATCATTAGCAGTAGTAATAGTAGTTTTGTATTATACCTTAGTTACGGGACTGTTCTTATCTCAACCTGTGGGGTTTACATTCTTTCGACTCCCCTCCTCATCCTGCCCAGATGGGGAAGGGGTGGAGATGTGAGCAAACGGCTGCATGATGCTGAGTTACTGGCTGGGCTTAAACCAGGACACCAAGGTAGCCCAGGCAGAGTTTACTCGTCATTTTGGGTGCAGTGACACATGTCGCAGCAAGATGCAAAAAATAGAGCTAACTTGTTTATCTCAGATATACACACAAACACTTTCTTAGCAACAAAGACCACGTGAGAGGCTTCCCCTTCCAACCAGAGGTCATCATCCCTTGCTTGGTTTAACTAGGTAAAGGATAGTAGACTGGGTACATGAATTGTAACATCCTAAAAGGATATGAAAACGTGCCTGGTTGATTTATGTTAAGCAAACTGGATTTACAGATTACAAAACAAAATATGTTAGCAGAAGCAAGGGCATTGAGCAGGTGGGACAGAAATTCAGGAACTCATTTTAAATCAAATCTGTTGTTGAAGATACATGTTCATGTAACAATATCCTAACTCAAAAGGATTTCCCCAGACTCTTGACATCCTTGACAAACTCTAGAACTAAATATATTGAATTATATATAGATGCTCCTATTAACAACATAAATGAAAAAACACTCAAACCACACACACACACAAAGCACTCCCTAATCATCTCTCTGGGTAATTAACAGTAAAAAACTAAAAAAGTATAGGTCAAGTATTTAAAAAAAATAATAACCATTGACAATTTGAAAAGCAAATTATAAACCTATAATAGGTTTTTACCAGCCTGTTCTACGTCAGCTGTCTTCATTAATTACAACCTGGCACTATGACATAGGAAAAGACACAATCTCTGTGTCTGGATAGCTCCCAGACTACATACGTAAAACCCAGTATGTTTAAACACATTCCAACAACAAATTTGATCAAAATAAAAAATTTTTGTCAAGAATTCAGGGGAAAGAAAAATTAGATTGTCAGAACAAACTTGCTATAGAAAAATATGTAATGGATTTGTGTGACAAATTGATTTCGCTTAGTGTAAGTTACAGACATAACAGAATAACCCAGTAGATTTCAGCTAAACTCATACCTACCCCCACTTTATGATACACTTTATCTCCTTGCTCTTGTTGGCACTGGTAGAGATCCTCTTTCATATCTTTGAAGTCACGTGTCTTTGTCACCAGATTCTGACGTTTCTGGATCTGTATTGTACCTACAAAGATAAATAACTTGCTTTTGATAGTCTGACTTGCATTAAGCAGTTAAGAGGAACCGCTGAACCCAAACGTCATCTTCATTTTCTCTGCAAATCCAGAAGCATTCTTACTTTGCAATTTCTGCCCAGTACTTACTAGCAACTGCTTAGCTGCAACAAAATGAAGACTATAAAACCAGATTTTTACATATTGATTCTGTTTCTTCCAGAGATAAAAAAATTCTTAAACAGACCCACTATTACACTGTCTTTTATTTGATGACAGCAAATGAAGGAATTTTGGAACACTACATAGAAGTAAGTTAGATACAACACAACAGAAGTTATGGAGGAAAGGTTACATGCAACTTTTCTGTCATTTTGTAGTAACATGCAAGCCAACCAGGATAAAAGGGAGACCATTAGTCCATGCATTATCCACTTCAGAACTTCAACACCTTACTGTTAAGTTACATGAATGAGAGGCTATGAGCACAGTATTTAAACTTCCATGCAGAAACACAATTATTACACACTGCTCACAAGGCAGGAAGTATCTGCAGGCCCTGTCTTGTCATTCTTATCATGAGTGAAGGCTAAAGGGTAAGTAAGTATCTTATTTTTCAATTGTCAGATAAAGGCTGAGACACACTTTTTCAGAAAAGATAGCTCCATTGTACTAGCCACGGATTTTTTCCATCAAGTAAAACTTCTTTACTGGTACTTTCCTACCTATACACATATTCTGTAAATCCTAACACCGATGTAGTATTCATTTCTTTTCTTTAAAGATTCTCTTGAATTGACTGTACAGCAGATGGCAACAGCAAGTTTTAGGTATTTCTTTCGAAAGCAATGCAGCATATGCAGAGTTCTATTTCTGGATTTACAGGTAGGGGATGTATTATCAAACAGAAGAAATTCTATAATTACTATTACACCGAGGAATTCAATTTCTATTCAATGTATTGTCAAGTATGAACTTAAAAACAGACAGTGCTCTATTAAGCCAGTTGAGCCCCAGTTCAGCTAAGGGAAAGGAATGTTTCTGCAGCACTGATTGTTTTTAAGTTTACAGAGTCCTAATAAACTCTGTAAGGACAGATCCTTGTGTAAGTGAATTTGAGTATACTGACAGTAAATTTGGTTTTCATATTTATGTTTTATAGATACTTTTGAAGAATTCCATTGGTTCTAAGAACCTGAAGACTGCATCTGAAAAATCATTTAGTGTAAATGTTAAGAGGAGCCTGAATTACAGGAAAACACTGGAAACTCCTGTTTCTCTCCGTATCAATAATCATAATTGGTAGATACAGTAAGCAAGAATTACATTAAGCAACACAGAAAGAGTAACAAAGACACTGAAAATGCATGTAATGCGGTACCATCCCTCAGTAATTGGTTTGTGTTTCCAGCTGGTACTCCAAGTCACAGTACCCTTCAGGTTCTGTAAGTAATCTATCCAAATCCCTAACAATACAGCAATGTTCCCTTTCTCAGACCCTGGTTAAAGAAAAAAACAACTGTCTTACTGTCCATAGGGAGACATTCTTCTGGCAAAAGCTTCCTAACTTCAGCTTTTCCATTTACCTCTGCTTCTAGCACGTCAACAGACATCAGTGTTTAACGTCAGCTACTAGCTGCAGCTGCTACATAGAAAGTATTTTACACGACTGGATTAGTCATTCCTATAATCCTGCATATACTAGTAATTCCTAAGACTTGATTTATTTATTTTTTTAATGTAAGTATGCACACATACATGGGTGCATGTGTACACATACACACTATTTATAAAGTTAATCTGAATACAAACACGGTATCCACAATACATCACTCGTGACTTACCTTCAGGTTTACCTAAGAAAAAAAAAAGTGCCAAGTGAAAATTAGTATACATCTCAAAATAAATGTCAAAACTTCGAACCCAGTCAAAATCAAATCCAGTTAGAATCATATTCCCAGTTTCAAATTGAATCACAAGTCTTAGGACTTCTTTCATATAAAACTAAATCTACTTAGAAAAAATTACTGTTGAAAATAAATGCCCTTTCTTATAACACCACATTCATCTTAGAAGATCAGGATTCCACCACATAAATTTAGGTCTGGACTGAGCTCTGCTGTTTTGTTAAATGTAGTAACAATCTGTGTAATGCTTAACTTTAGGCAACGCGCTGAACGCAGAGGAATTGCTGCTCTCCTGCATTCCCTAAACCACTCTGGAATTGCAAAGACAAGTACAGCGTATTCTTCTCCAACAGAGAGAGAAAAATAGCGACACTATGGACTCTCGTAAAAAACATGCCTTGCTTTTTATGGTACATTTACCAATGAATATATATGGGACAGAAGCCTGAAATAATTCTCTGAATGCTGTTAGGAATGGTAAGCACTACCACAGATTTATTTCAAAAGAAAAGATGTGAAAAATGAAGGGTACACACTGCAGCATGAGAACAGTAAGGAACTGCACCTGGAAGGGCAACCAAAATTGATGAGTTTACTTTAATTTTAAATTCGTGTATATTAAATACAATTGCACTGCTGAAGAGCCTGCCTATATTATCCATACATTAGCAGTTGCTTTTTCTCTTTTTCATGTTTAGATTGTTAGCGAAGAACACTGGGGGAAAAAAAACAGAGTCACAATAAAATGGTATTTTTTACATAAAATATTAATTCTGTGTATTTTGTTTTCTATAAACTCACCATAGAAGTGTCCAAAGCCCATGCTGATTGCAATCACCAAAGCCAGTATGATGCATCTGTTAAGGCCACTACTGAACTGGCGTTTGTGCTGCTCTTCTTCGGGAGGTTCAGACTCCGGTTCCGCTTTTGTCCCCCCCTCAGCCTCAGAGCTGGGGATCGGCCTCTTCTTAGCCCGACGTTTTCGTACTGTGGGACTGGACTGGTCGCTCGTTTCATCACTACTTGATTCATCATTGCTAGCCTGAGATGAAAAAACTGAAAACCAGCACAAAACGTTCCTTAAAATGCATTAATTGTTGCTTTAAAAATCAATTTGAGTACGACAATCCGTATTTATGCAACATCTATTTGGCATTTATCTTTGAGAACATTAATAAAACAAAATAAAAATTGTCAATGTACTATTTTATGCTAGCTATTATGCAAGGAATGCTTGATGTCCAAAGTTAAAGATTCATTTTTTCCAAGGAAAAGATAGAGAATCAAGGAATCATGAGCAAAAAACTGTACGGTACTTTCCCATACTGTACCACTCACTCATTAGAAAATGTTTCTTGCAGGCAATCCTGCCTCATACACTGTCTCTGCAAATTCTTGTGAAGCAGAAAGATTAAGAATTCAGTTTTCCTTTTCTTACAGATATTGAGAAAGAACTATTTAATAATGAAAGAGCAACATAAAGGCTTGCTAAGAAAAAGCCTGCTAAGAAGCTATAGACATGGTTTTATTACATTCTCTCAAAAGAATTCCTTCTGTGATCTACATGCAGCTGCAGACAAAATTCCATTAAAATTCCATTAATGCAGGTATTATACCCAAAGGTTTGCATTGCACATTTAAATATGTAAATTTGTTTACTTTCAATATCTACCATATACTACCTATAAACATCTTTACCCACCTTTCAAAAAAGGTCAATTTTAACTACTACTGCACAGGAAGGGAACCACTCAGGTGGTTCTGTATCTGTCCCTCCCTAAGGAGGGATCTCACCAAGCTACTCTCCATCATTTACCAGCAGTCCTGGTCTAGTGGGCAGGTCCCTGAAGACTGGAGGTTGGCCAACATGCCGCCTCTCTACAAAAAGGAGATGAAGGAAGACCTGAGAAACTTCAGGCCTGTTGGCCTGACCTCAGTGCTGAGGAAGGTCATGGAGCAGATCGTCCTAAATGAGATCACACAGCACATGTGGGAAAACCAGGGGATCAAGCCTAGTCAGCATGGGTTCATGCAGGGCAGGACCAACTTGTTCTCCTTCTGTGACAAGGTGACCCACCTGATTAATAAGGGAAAGGCTGTGGACATTGCCTGTTTGGTCTTCAGTAAAACATTTGACACTGTCTCCTACAGCATTCTCCTGGAGAAACTTGCTGCTCATGGTCTGGATAGGTGTGTTCTTTGCTGGGTTAAAAACTGGCTGGACGGCCGAGCCCGAAGAGTGGTGGTAAATGGTGTCACATCCAGTTGATGACTGGTCACTAGTGGTGTCCCTCAGGGCTCTGTGTTAGGGCCAGTGTTGTTTCATATATCTATTGATGATTTGGACAAGGGGATCAAATGCACCTCAGTAAATTTGCAGATGACACCAAGTTGACTGGGAATGTTGATCTGCTGGAGGGTAGGAAGGCTCTGCAGAAGGATCTGGACAGGCTCCACTGATGGGCTTTGGCCCATGGTATGAGGGTCAACAAGGCAAAGTGCTGGGTCCTGCACTTGACACATAACAACCCCAGGCAGGCTTGGGGAAGAACGGCTGGAAAGCTGTTCATGGAAAAGGACCTGGGGGTGCTGACTGACAGAGGCTGAACATGAGTCAGCTTTTACCCAGGCAGCCAAAAGGCCAGTGGCATCCTGGCCTGTATCAGAAATCATGTGTCCAGCAGGGCCCGGGAAGGGATCATCTCCCTTATTTGGCACTGCTGAGGCTGCACCTTGAATCCTGTGTTCAGTTCTGGGTCCCTCACTACAAGAGAGACATTGAGATGCTGTAGCAGGTCCAGACAAGGGCAACAAAGCTAATGAAGGATCTGGAGCACAGGCTTTACAAGGAACGGCTGAGGGACCTGGGGTTGTTTAGTCTGGAGAAGAGAAAGCTCAGGCAGGACCTTATCACTCTCTACAACTATCTGAAAGGAGGATGGAGAAAGGAGGTGGCTCTTTTCCCAAGTAACAAGCGATGAGACAAGAGGTAACAGCCTCAAGCTGCACCAGGGGAGATTTAGACTGGATATTAGGAACAAATTATTTACCAGGAGGGTGATCAGGCATTGGAACAGGCTGCTCAGGGAAGTGCTGGAATCATTGTCCCTAAAGTGTTCAAAACCCACGTAGAGATGAGGCACTTAGTGACATGGTTTAGTGGTGGACTTGGCAGTCTTGGGGTAAAGGTTGGATGCAATGATCTTAAAGGTCTTTTCCAACCTAGTTGATTCTATGAGATGACTCTAACAGTCTGAATCCAAACCACTTCCATTACCTGACTGATGTTTTGGAGATTGAATTGGCTGAGATTTGAGATAAGCCCAAATTCTAACCATAAAAAAAAAAAATATATCTTCTTTTTGTAAAATAGTGTTTATGATTCCATTTCTATGATCACATTCCTATGGCCCAAAAGCCATATATTCTAGCTGGGGAAATAACAACAGAGCTGTAATTGCTTGTTGTTTAGTGGTACAAATGCTTGCTGCATGTACTGTAAATAAATGTATATAATCCAGTATGTAAGTAATGATTATTTAATCTCTCTCCTTTGAAAGCATAAGTTTCAAGTGTAAGGCAAGTATCAACGGGAAGCTGTAGCAGGGTGAAAAAGCAGCTTTCAGCTATCTATGTTCATGTACCTAATTCACATGCCCAAAATAGATTCAGTGTGATCAATGAAGCCTCCAGCACATGACAAAGTGCTCCTGCTCAGACACTAAATTTGATGCCCGCAATTACACAATGCTAATGCCCCTTCTAGATACATGGTTGTTCATTCTCATACCAGAGATCATCACTCAAATGTAGAAATATAAATACAGAGTTACTGTCCTTGAACATTTCACAACTGAACAATCGTTTGTTTGAGCGAAGCCATGCACACACCACTGAACAGACAAGAATGCCAAGCAGTGCTAGCCATTACCTATAAAAAGCATTACCGACTAAGATCCTTCACTTAAAATAAATTCCAACTTAACAGAAGTGATTGCATCAGCCCCAGAAAAGATTACCTATTAGAGTATCTGGAATACACATCTCATTTCTGACTCCACAGACAAGCAACATGTCAGATAACGAAAGATAACTTCCCCTCTTACGAAAATAATCCATTTTAGTCAGTTAGTCAAACCACACTGACCAAGCAGACATTGCAATGAAGACAAATCACTTTAACCACTACTTGACATGCAGATTGTTTGATGAATTTATATAGCTTGGCAGAAAAGGACACTATTTGAGAGTCAGTCATTGAAGCAGATGCATACTTCCCTAGCCCTGGACAATGAAGACAAGCATTCTGAAATTAGTTGGGAGAGAGGTATTTAGAATTTACTAGAATGCAGAGGTCAGACATTATGAGAGATTATGGAGGACATACTTAATAAGGCAGATGTTATCATCAGTTATTTGGAATTTTTAGGGATTTTTCGACAACCAAAGAAGCTTACACATATGGAATACAAAAGTGGTTAAGGAACAAGCTGCTTCTAGCCAAATGAAAAATTCTTTTGATATACACTGGATAGCAAAGAATAGGAAAGGAGGAAAAAAAAACCCCAGACAATAAGAAAGCAACGAGAAAAAGCTGTAAGACACTTAGAGCCATTCAAAAGCACTTACTGGCAAGTCGTCAACAGCATTACTCTTTCAGGCAAGAATGACACTGCCTTACAGCTGCTGTAAGAATTCTGTACAAAGCTGTACTCTAACATTCACAGGATGAAAAGGACTATAAATGAAACAAAGTGTGACCACAATACAGTGCAAAAATTCTAGCTTCTGCTATGATTTTGCAGTGTCACATCTACTCTACAAACCACATGAAGTAACAATGTCAGTGATCAGTTTGTCTTTCTGACATTTCCGCACAGACACAGCTCAGTTTATTTCAGCACATGAGAGCTTCTTCTAGTTAACTTCAATCATGAAGCAATATTAAAACATTCTGTTTGCATGAAGACAGCCTAAGCAGGAATTGGTCTGCAGGTAAAAGTTTTAGTATCTATATAAGGAAAATCTGAAACTCATCTTTTTCCAACTCTACAGAAAACTCAACAAGAAGTGAATGGCAAAGATTCCCATCACCAAAAAAGTGGCATGAAAATTCTGACTGCTAAAACTCTGGCATTTAAAATAAATGCAAAAGTACTCCAGGCATTTTCTGTAATACATGGTCAATCAAACACACAGCACTAAAGACCATGCTGAAATCAGCTCCAGTTAGAAGGAATTCTTTTTGCCAGTCACACAGATTTGGAATCCAGCAAGAACCATTCATTTAAAACAGTCAAGCACACACATTAAAAAGCATTACAAAGCTTACTGATGTCCATTCCAAATCTACATGTAAGGTTAACATTTTGGAAAAAAAGCAAATACAACACTGACAGCTCAGCCAAATTCTCCAGTGAGGACTGGCTTTTAGCATCTGTTCAGAATATCACTACTGTAAGATCAAGTCAGATTGCTACTGTTAATTTTAAGAACACTCCATGCAAGCCATAAGCAATCAGCTTTACACAAGCTGATCCGATTTAATCACACCACCTTGGAAAGGAAGACTGTGAGACACATGCTCTTTCACCTCATTTCCCCATCCCCTTACACAATCAGGAATCTTCCTCAGCTCCTCCAGCCAACTGACTTTTGTGTACAAGAACACAGGGGAAAAAGTAACAAAACAAAACATTTTTAGAACTCTGCCCTAAAAGAAAAGTCAATAAATTTTAAATTGAAAATGAAGTCAAGTCATCCAGAAGACTTAAAGAAGGTGACAGCTTTGCTGTGAATCATCACTCATCATATTTATATGCTAAGCCGTCATTGTCTCATTCAAATGGATACTATACAGATAGGCGAGTGTTTAACGAGGCTCTATTCTACTTCTACAATAAAATAGTATTTTAAGAAAAGTCCTGCTATAAACTCATTTTGAAAATAAACTCATTTTGAAAACAAAAGTCAGTAACATAAAAGTGTTGTAGAAAATAAAGAGAACAGAGATTACAAATAAGCAGCCAAACAATTAAAAAGAAAGACCAGAAAACTAGAGAAGGGTAACACAAGAGTAAGTATTTTTGTTGGGGTTTTTCTTTTAATTGGCCTAATATTCTTATCCTTCCTCCTGCATATAATGCATTGCATATTTCTGCCAAGTACTGTGAGAATCTTAAAAAAAAAATATATATATATACATACTTTACATAACTATGAAAGCAAGCAAAAATTTTTTGTAGTCATGCTGCTATTAGTCTGCATGGCCCCAGAAGTCAATTCTCTCCCAGCTGCTTGTTATTTATGCCAGCGCTGTAAAAGCCTCCAAAATTGCCAAGAGAAAACCTACAATTACTCTATGAATTGAAAGTAATTTTAATTCTCAAAAATATGCTAAAAATTTACTTTCTATTTAAAATAGCCAACACTTATCGGGAGAGAAAGCTTTCAAACAAAAAGATTGCAGGCATACCTTTGAACAAAGGCTGAGATTTAGGGTAACTAGAGTTCTTCTAGACACTGCAAATACTTGGACATGTACTCAGCAAGAGCGATTATCTTTTCCCCTCTCCACCCAGAGAAGGTTCCCTAAGCAAAGACTGCTTTGTTTTGGTTTGGTTTTTTCCTGGTGACATTCCTGCACACAGTTGCTTAGTGCTTTATTGCTCTTACCAGTTTCTAGATGGGAAAATGCATATTGACTGCTAGAGGAGGAACCCATGTTAAAATCAGCTGAACTTCGAGCTTCTTCACCCTCAGCTGGAGCTTCCTCCTGACTTTGAGTTTCTTCTGATTTTGGAGCTTCAAGTGTAACAATGTCAGAATCATCACTAATAGTTCCAATGCAGGACCCATCATCAGGGATTTTTTCTTTATTTCCCTAGGGAAATGGACAATGTAAAAATTATTCAGATACATACAACAAAATAATTCTGAAAAACAGCAAGAATTCTTAATGCTTTAAAAAAAGGAAAATCTGTATCTTTAATGCTTTCAAAACATAGCTTGGCATTGTCATATGGGGCTTACAGAAGCTTCTGAACAACATAATGCAATTTACCTCTGGAACTATCTGAGTTTCCTCAAAAGCAGAAAGAGTATTATCTGCCACCGGTATCTCTTCATCATTGCTGCACTGAGCTATACAAAGAGGAAAACCACACAAACATGGGATTAAAACCAGTAACCACAAAATGTGCCCACTCATACATAATATCAAAATGTGTGTAATTGTGGCAGATTTCTAGTATCTTCTCGTATCAGGGAAGTTTTTCTAAAAATACAGTAAATCTCCTTTTTAATAACCCTCTAACAAAAATTAGAGTCCAGTTCATTATTACATAATACAGTGGTTCGGAGGATACTTGAATTCAAATGGTCACACTGATCATAATGCAGGTAACCTCTAAATGAAAAGCAGTCAGGTAAAAACCAACACTGTGACACCACAGTACATCTGTATGCCAGGATAATAAAACTGTTTTCCAGACAGTCACTGGAGTTTGAGTGTCTAGTCCTATTTCTACAAGGAGAGGTCATGAATTTGGAAACATGGGCAAGCTCAAATTTAGTCCACTGCACACTGAACCCCTCACGTCTGTGTTCTCATGCCAATATTAAAACATCTAGTATCCAATTTAGTAATTAACATCAGTGGAAGGATTTTCACTTTATTAATAAGCACCAGACTTACACTTCTAACTCAAGAAATGCTAACACAGAGCATTTTTTTAGGTGTAAAAGCATTGATGGTTCCTTCCAAATTACTCTTATTTCATGTATGACATTATTAAGGAGTATCTCTTCTATCAACAGCACTTGTATAAACTATCTTCCAGCAACACCAGTGCATACTGTTCTATAACACATCTAAAGTATGGACAAAATGAAAGCCATTCTACTCATTTCATCTATTTCAAGAAAAAATACTTTCATAGAGCTGATTATTTTCCATACCTCTGATGAAGCAAGCACTCTGACAGAGGCCTACAAACCCTATCACAAATACTAATTTTGTGCCAATGCTACAACAGATACTTACCTGGTTTTTGGAACTATTCCTCTTTTAATATCTTACCTTGCAAATCAATTGGTTGCTCCTCTTCTTGCAAAGAAACATATTCTTCTGAAACAAACTCTTGGTTATCATTTGTGCTTCCATTTTCTGAAGTCACTGTCTCTATGTCAGAACCCTGGAGTCGAAGAGTTTTAAATGAACATCACAGATTTCCATCAGTAAAGCAGAAGGAAAAGGTTACAAAGAAAACAGAACTCTATTAATAAAAACAGAAGAGTAATAACCTTTAAAACTGAAGATTTTAAGCAAAGAAAACAAGAGAAATACCAAGTAATTTGCTAGAGGGAAGCAAACGTTGGTGTGTAATACTTATGACCATGATTGAAAAAAGGCAGAGGACAACTGGGGGGG